TTGTCGATCGCTGGCGGGTTCTTTGTTTTTGTGTTGGCCTCACATTGTGCGAGAGCCCCCAGGCCTATATATCGGTTGTGCGATCTCCGCAGCCTTTTTATGGCACAATTCCTCGTTCAGCTGACGCTCGCTCCACAATGGTTGATCGCACTGTGTACACTGATCCGGCTCATACACCTGACCTGCCCCTGAGGCAGATCTTCCGGAGGCAGCGGCTGTTGACCGATCTTTGCCGGACAGTCGCAGATGCCAACTTGTTGACAGTGGAAACGTTCTCCACGTTGGGCGATACGATCGCGGCCGTCAAAGCCACACTCCGGGCCATTATACCGGATGAAGACAAGCTCGGAGCAGATCAACCCGCTCGGGAGCTCGCCCTGGCAGCCTTGGCTGCCGTGTGGAAAACCTGCTCAACAATGCAGGATCACTTCGCAGCGCGGCGCGCCAAGATGGAAGAGGATCCCTCCAAAGTCCCGCAAATCCCGGGCGAAGACCATGCTGAGTTCCGGCAGCTGTTCATTGCTCGCCATCCGGACGTCGTTCTACCCCACCATCGTGAACCTCATAGGAAGTTCGTGGGGCGGCTCCAGCGAGACTTCTTGGTCCATGGGGCCGTCAATTTTTATGAGGTCGGTGAGATGCGCACTCGTAATGAGCAGATCGCCCAGAAGTCCGGCTTGAGCAAGAACGCTGAGGATCTCTTGAGAGTCGTCCAGGTTGATCAACCTCAGGCTGCGGCCTCAGAGTCCCAAGTCATGGACAAGCTGCATGCCTTCTTCGTGGCGCTCGAGTACCTCAATATCTGTGAGTTCTAGTATGTGGCCGGCCCCCTGCGCTATCTCTCCGATCTGGAGGAGTGGTGCCATGAGAACCGGGGACTGGCCTTGCTGCTGGCAGCTGACTCGCTGATCCGGAAAAAGGTCTATCGCCTCAATTCTGATCACAAGCAAACCTATGCGACCTTTTCCGCAGCTCTGTTGGAAGTCTTGCAGAACCACAAGCAGCTCTGGAATGACGCTCGCTCGAGCGCCGAACTCGACAAGTTCAAACAGGCAGGACAATCTGCCGCCCCCTCAACACCCAAGGGGCGCAAGCGATCGCGGTCGACCTCACAGACACCGCCCAAGCCTACAGCAAAGGCTCGTAAGAACAAGCAGCGTCGTGCTCGACAGAAGGAGCAGCTGAAGGCACTCAAGTCGGCTCCGAAGCCCGCTGGCGAAGCCAAAGGGAAAGCCAATCGGGACGCTCGTATCCCGGCAGAGGAGTGGACTAAGGTGAACTCGTTCAAATACTCTGGACCCAGACGTTGTCCTTTCTTCAACTGCTCTAGTGGGTGTCGCTTTTGGTGATCAGTGCAAACACAAGCATCTCTGCGTCGAGTGTGGCAAGCCCCACGCTTGGCACGGCAACCACTGAAGCGCTCGCTTGAGCCCCCAGGAGGGGTGTGCCCCGCCTCCTGGGGATTGGTTGGGCACAGATCTGCGGTGCCCCAATGAAGAGAGTTCTGGCAGTCCGCCTACGTTCCCTCTGACTAGCACCGCTGCCGCTCCGGTAAGGTGGAAGTCCTGGAGTGAGGTACCTCTAGATCCTGTTCAGGTAGCACAACATGGACCTTTCTTTCTCGAGATCTTTTCAGGTACAGCGAGACTCACCCAACAGGTGGCTCTGTTAGGCGTGCCAGTTCTCCCGCCGATTGACATCGAGATCTCTGAAATGGTTCCACAGCCTGCTGACCTTTTGGATCTGGGCCTTTGGGATCGTGTGATGGCGCTCGCTCATATCGGTGCAATTTTCTTCGTGCACTTAGGGACTCCATGCAACACCTTCACTGCGGCTCGCAAGTTGGATGGCGGCCCGCCACCCTTACGGTCTGTGGAGTGCCCGCTCGGGCTCCCGGGCTTGTCTCCGGAGAACCAGAGCTTGGTCACCTTGGGCAATCTTTTCGTGAGCCGCTCGGTTGAGATCTCTTTGCATGCGGAGGCAATTTTTCGATCGCTGTGGCAGACTCCAGCAATGCACCATCTGGAGACCTCCGCGCGGGCAATGGATCTGGATTTTGATCAATGTGCTTTCGGTGCTCCCTCGGTGAAACCAACTCGGCTCCGGGTCTCTTCAGAAGCCTTGCAGGATGTCTGCTTGTCATGTCCAGGGGATCATGAACATGAACTACTTCAAAACCAAGTCTGGGATCCTCGTCGACACCGTATGGTCTTTCGCACCAAGCTCGCTCAAGAGTATCCTCATGCCTTGTGTGCCACCATGGCTTTGGCTGTTCAGCAGCTGAGGACGGATGACCTCGCACATCTGGCTCCATCGTTCGCTCTCACGACCCCTGCAGCAGATCGCAAACGAGCTCTTGGGCAGCCCGCTCGCTGGTTTGGGCATCGACAAGAAGGCACCGCTCGGAAAGCGCTGGCCTCCGGATACCAGCTCAAGCGTCGAGCTCGAGCCTGGTCAGGCAGTGCAGTGGGCCTTGCAGGTCATTCAGCGGTTCTCAGTGCCAGTGCAACTGGAGGCTGACCTCGAGTCCGCCATCCAGCAGCTCGCGTCAGACGCTTCTGCGGTGCTGCAACGTCGCGTGGCCGCTCTGGCTTTTTGGGAGGCGGAAGCACACCGGCTCCTTCCGGAAACCGCTCGGCGCATTGCTGCTCTACCTGACCCTGACCTCCGTGCTCTGCTCCTTGGTGGCAGCGCGCCAGAGGCTCCTCAATTGGGACAGGTGTGTCATGTTGCGCTCTATGAAGCGATGCTGCAGCACTGCTCTTCAGTTGATCAACTTCTGGTTCAAGACCTTCTCGAAGGCTTTCCCATTGTCGGCCCCATTCATCGGTCCGGCCGCTGGCCCCCATACGACAAAGCTCAACCGGCGCTCGCCATCGGTCAAGCGCTGGAGAGGGCCTGGGAGATTCGAGCAAAGATCATCAAGCGGGTTCAGAGTCCAGGTATCCGAGAATCTGCAGAAGATCTGGGACTCTACGATCGAGGACTGCAACGAAGGCTCGTGTAAAGGTCCGTGGTTTTCTGAAAAAGAGGTCTCGGAGTTTCTTGGGTGTGATGATTGGATCCCAACTCAAAGATTTGAAGTTGTTCAAAAGAACAAAGTTAGAGGTTGTGATAGTGCGACCACCAACATGATCAATCAAATTACAGAGATCGTAGAAAAGCTCCAGCTGCCTTCGACAGACACGAACGTGTCAGCCTTGAGAATGCTGAGATCAACTATGCCGCTCGAAAAATTTGCAGGCTGGGTCTTAGATGAGAGAAAGGCGTACAGGCAAGTGGCAGTGAAACCTGATCATAGGAAGTTTTCAGTTATTTGCCTCAAAGAACCCTGTTCCGCTCGGACGGCCTTTTTCATCATGATCGGACACTCGTTCGGGTTGGTCTCTGCTGTGTATAACTACAACAGACGATCGGCCGCAATTAACGAGTTCTTGATCAAACTGTTTGGATTGGTCAGTTTTTATGACGATAAATACGGGTTCGAGCCGGTGAGCACGATCGCATCGGCCAGACTGACGGCTGAGTGTGTGCACACTTGGCTGGGGGCAAAGTTTGATCAGAAAAAGCTCCAGCTGTCTGTGACGCCTACGATCTTGGGTGTTACGTACAATCTGGAGCAAATGCAGCTTGAGATCAAAGAAGATCGCAAAGCTGATCTGATCAGCGAAATTCGATCGATTTTGGATAATAACAATTTGTTGGATCCTGGCACAGCTGGTAAGCTCAAGGGTAAACTAATGTTTGGAGCGTCACAGCTCTGGGGGAAGGTCGGTCGTGCCTATTTAAGGGTCATTTCGGAGAGACAATACATGAGGTTCCCGGTCGGTCCCAGGTTCGGCCTTGATCTCCCTTTGAGAGCCTCCCTGGAGCAATGGTTGAAGCTGGTCAGCCAGGGTCCCCCAAGGACAATCGACCGACAAGTTTCAAAGAAATCGGATGTGGTAATTTTTACGGATGGGTTTACCCCTGATCCCCGAACACCCGTGTCCTCCAGGTTGCCCGATCGGGTTGGTGCTGTGTTGTTTGATCGTTGTCTTGTTCACCCTCGTCAATTCACGGCCGTTGTGCCAAGAGAGGTCAGCAAGCGATGGATCCCTCGGACGACGCAGATTACCCCGATCGAAATGTTGGCACCTGTTTTGGCTCTTGAAACCTTCGCTGATCGGCTCGTCGGCGCAGACGTCATTGTGTTGATTGACTCTGAAGCCGTTGAGGCCGCGCTCGTTAAGGGTTACTCGAGTCGTGAGGATGCTTGTTCAATCATTTCAGTGTTTTGGGATCGGTCTCTTTCGTTGAAGTGCAGAATCTTCATCGATAGAGTCTCAACTGACGCCAACCCGGCAGACTGGCCGTCCAGAAACGATCTGCGAAATGGCCGGGAGGCCGGTTGGATCACAATCGACGCTCGTTGGCCAAATGATTTGGCTCCTTAGTTCTGGGCCTGGGGAGCAGAGTCTGAGGTCTGATTCATGATAGCTCTCCCTGCAGCT